TCCAAAAGCTTTCTTTAAATAAAGAAAAAAAGAAACAAAGGCCTTCTGAAAAAGTTTCTAAATGGGCCAAAGATAACAGCAACTTTAATTTCACAATTGCAGAATTAGAGCATAAAGCTCAGGATTCCAAACGAAAGCAATCGTAAATACCTAAAGATAATTTGTCTGGAGGTAGTGCTCTTTAAAATTTATAAACAGAATTATTAACTACTAAAATGATGAAACTTTTTTAAAACATTATTTTTTTCTTTCACAATTCCTAAGCATATATTAACAGCAACTACCCATATGTCAGAAAAGGACAATCACCTTTGAGAATTCCCATAAACTTACACATTGTCACTACTCCTGTGGACTCCTTGCGAGTCAAGTTAATGTGTCTACTGAAAAGCAGCTGTGGTGTCCTAGAAAGTCTAGACTGGTGATCAGAAGCTTCAACTCTAATTTTAGCTCTCACTTAGAAGCTGTGGGGCCTTTGCTATGAAACTGGATTTGCTCATCTACAATTATAACAATACATGCCATTGTTATAATTCAACAAAAAGTTCCCAAGGTTAAAAAGAGATCAACATCCACTCACAGGGTGTTGTGAATATTAAATGAAATAAAGTAATAGAAAATAACAAACACTTACTAAATATTCTGAATTCTCTGATGAAACGTTTTCCTTTCCTCTTCAGTAAACAGCAACAAAAAGCAACCTTCACCAAGTCCAAAGTCACAAAGGAGCTGGGAGAGGCTATAAGTAGTTTGATTCCCATGCCTATGTTGTATTTTCTCACAGAAACAAAATACATCTTGTAATGAGCTGCTCCTCAGTCTTGTTAGAAAGATGTTAAGTCAATTGTTAACCTTCGACAATTGACTAAATCAATCAGAATGTTGCTAATGCCCTCTTACCTACTGTAGAACAAGATTTCATCAGTTACCTACTATGTTTACAGATCACAAACTCGTATGTTTTCAGTCATCCAAATAGATGACTATTGATTGCTACAGTGATGACTCTTAGGAAGGCATTTGAAAATGATTTCAAAAATGGCTGTGTGATATAGTTCTACGCTTTCTTCTACTCTAGCCCAACAGTCAGGCAAGAAGCAGGCCTACCATAGCATTCTCTTATTTGCCCTAGATCCCCTTCTAGCAGAATTTTCTGTTTGCCTCTATTGTCTCAAAGACTCTGTGCCATTAAAACTGGAACTCAATACAGGATTGATCTATTCCTTTCTAGAACCACCTCACCTGCCAAAATGCAATTCAAAAGAATGAACTTAAATGTTTCAGAGAAAGCCTCCAGAGAACATGGTCTCCCCAATACTGAGTGTAAAGGGTAAATACACCAAAATAGCTACTCAGATTCTGAAGAGGATTATGTAGTGGCCTCGAAATTAAACCATTACAAATGGTATTTTACAACTAAATTCTGACCTTAACAGGACCCTTTCCATACTCAAAAAGAACCAAACTTCGTTCCCATCAAATGTTTATCAATATTTATAGACTAGAGATAAACAAGAAAGCAGTTAAGTTTTACCCGCCAGAGAAATTACAGAAAAGGAAGGGCATTTCACAATTTGAAAGTGCCTACACGGCTTTAGGAAAGCTCTCAGTGCCCTTGCCCATGTACAGTGTACAAATAATATTAATAAAAATTTAACATTTGCTGCCCAAAGCTAAATCCACAAGTTATCTATCAAGAAAATCCAACAGGAGTAAAAATCGGTACAACCACTTTGGAAACCTGTCTGACAGTACATACTACAACACAGCAATTCTATTTGTTTTGGTTTTTGTTGGTTTTTGGTTTCAGAGGCAGTGTCTGGCTACATTCCCAGGCGAGATTCAAATTCCCGGGCTCAAGTGATCCTCCTACCTTCTACCAAATTTATGTATGTTTTATGTTTACCAAAAGATACGTTAAAAAATGTACCTATGTCACTCATAATAGGCAAAAAACTAAATACAAATGTTCACCAACTATACAGTGAATAAATTAATTAAACTATATTTAAACGCTGTACTACTACACAGCTACACAACAATAAGAAAAAACCATTGCTACATACGAGCCTGGCTGAATCTCACAGACACAGTGTTGAGAAAAAGGCCACTCACAAAACAGAATGCATGTTTCCATTTATATAAAGCTCAAAATCAGCAAAACTAATCTATGGTGAAAAGAATGATTACCTTTGGTAGGTTATTAACTGGAAAAGAACATGAGAAGTTTGTTGGTACTGCTGGAAATTTTTTCTATTTTGATCTGGGTAAGTGAGCAGAGTATATCCACATGTAAATAGTTACCGACCTGTACAATTAAGATCTATGCCCTTACTGCATGCAAAGTAGACCTCAAAAAAGAAAGCCCTATGTTTTTTAAATTCAAAATAGATTTTTTTTAAGTGATTTATTCACTCCATGAGGTAACAAACACTGACACATAAACGGCAGTGCTAAAGTAACAGCCTAGGAAGGCTGTTCTGCAGTTTCTGCCTATACAATAGGCAATTCATTTACTCAAACATTTGTGGTTTGCCTATTTCATGACAAAAAGCTAAAGTAGTTATATTACGTTAAAAAGCATTAAAGTACTAGATAAGATGTAACAATTTTAAATCTATATGCACCTAGTAACAAAACCTCAGCAAGTATATAACAAAATCTAACAGAAGAGAAACAGATAAAAAATTGATAAGGCATATGACTTGAAGAGGCACCACTAAAAGGATGTTAACGGTTATTAAACATTTAAAAGGGTCCTTAACCTCATGTGTAATCAGAGGATGTATACAGAAACCATAATTATATTTGCCCACCTACCAGATTAGCAAATTATAAAATGCCTAAAAATACCATCTCTGTCAAGTTGTGTAGAAACAAGACCTCCCATATACTGTTTGTAGTGTAAATTGTATCGGCCTCTTTAGAAAAGTTTGGCAGTGCCTAGTGAAGTTAGGGATATACACCCTTTACGATCCAACAATTCTACTCCTAGGTATAAATCCCAAAAAAACTCTTACATCTGTGATCAACTGTCATATACAAGAAAGTCTGTAATGATAATGTTCAAAAAAGCCCTGAACTGGAAACAACCCAAATATCCCTTATAAGTAAAATGGATAAATAAATTACAGTTTAGTCATACAATGAAATACCATAGAGCAATGAAAACGAATGAACTCAATAAACTGCATGCAACAACATGAATGAATCTCACAAATACTGAGCAACAAAGGAAAATCACAAAAAATACACATAAACCCATTTACAGCAAGTTGAAAAACAAAACTAAATTTAGGAATGTATACATAGGTGGTAACACTATTTAGGAAAAAAAAATGGCAAGGGAATGACTATTCTAAAAGTCAGGACAGTGGTTATCCCAAGAGGGGAGGGAAGGGAATGTGTGTAACAGGACAGGGCATATGGATTTGGGGATTAATGTTGTATGCGTATTCCCTTACCTGGTATGGTTGTTTTCATTATTATCATTCTTAGATATGTGCCTTATATAGTCTCCCATACATATAATAAATTCAAAAGTATTTTACTTAGAAAGAAGGGGAAGCCCTTTTTCTTCCCCTTCCTCTTCCTGCTGAATGAAACATGAACCTAACAAGTAGAAAGGCCTGATCAGTCACAAGTGCCTACTCCACATGTCTCTTACATTCAAGAAATATGGCCAGGCATGGTAGCTCACTCCTGTAATCTAATCCTAGCACTGTGGAGGCCAATGCAGGCAGATTGCTTGAGGCCTAGAGTTTGAGACTAATCTAGACAACAGAGTGAGAACCAATCTCTACAAAAAAAATAAATAAATAAATAGAAACATTAACCAGACATGCAGTGGCATGCAGTAGTTCCAACTAACTACTCAGGAAGCTGAGGCAAGAGGACTACTTAAACCTGAGAGTTTGAGGTTGCTATGAGCTATGTTGACACCACTGCACTCTAGCCTGGGGCAATAGAGCAAGATCCTGTCTCAAAAAAAAAAAAAAAAAGAAAAGAAAAGAAATATATTTTTATCTTTTAAAAATCTATTACTTCAATTTTCTCTTTTTTTTTTTTTTTTTGAGACAGAGTTTCACCATGTTGCCCTAGGTAGAGTGCTGTGGCGTCACACCTCACAGCAACCTGAAACTCTGGGGCTTAAGTGAGTCTCTTGCCTCAGCCTCCCAAGTAGCTGGGACTACAGGCGCCTGCTACAACGCCCAGCTATTTTCTTATTGAGTTGTCATTATTGTTTAGTTGACCCGAGCCAGGCTTGGACCCGCCAGCCTCGGTGCATGTGGCTGGTGCCATAACCACTGTGCTACGGACGATGAGCCTACTTCAGTTTTTCTATTACACACAGTCAAACCTAATTCCAACCAATCTATTCAGTGATTTGGACAAATGAAAAACTTTCTAAAATTAAAATGGTCCAGCAGTAGAAAGAACTGCCTGAGAAAGTATTCAGTGTGCACTCCTGACAGGGCATTGTGGAAGTCCTGGGCAGCAAGAATGCCAGACTACAGGGTTTCCAAATGCCCTTCAGGCAATTAAGATTCTAAGGCTACTGCTGCAACACAGCAACTGCAACAAGAAAATAGCCGGGTGTTGTGGCGGCGCCATAACCACTGTGCTACAGGGAGCGGAGCCGATTGTAAGAATTTTGAAAAAGAAAGCAAGGTGAAGTGGCACCAGACTGTATAGTTCTAGCTAGTCTAGAAGCTGAGGCAGGAGGACTGCTTGAGGCAGGCAGGGAGTTCCAGTAAATACCCTGGGCAACAAAGTGAAAAGAAAATAAGAAGATATTCTAAAGAAGATTCTTCAATAATTTTTAAGTTCTATATATTTACTTCAGTCATTTATTCACCCAGATCATTAATCCAAAATAAAAGCTGGCAGAAATGCAAAGCCACCCAAAGTAAGCATCAGCAGTGAAATCTACACACTCTGACAGTAAAATTCAGGAGACAAGTGCCTTCTAACCAGGAGGAAATCTGGAAAAGACTCACCAACAGCAGAAAGTCTGTAGCAGGCATCTTCCTCTTCCAGTCGTCCCCTCGGCACTTCTCTTTATCAGTGTCTGTGAAAGGTAACCAGGTTTGTTGACGTCTAGAGCTGTACAAACCCGCTCGCCAACTGGTCTAGGTTCAACAGAGCAGCCAAGTTGTGGTTCTCTCCCTCCTTTAAAGACTCGGATTTCACTCCCAGATAATACCCTCTACCCCCACCCAGCGAATCAGAACTCTGCTGCAACTAGGTTTCCCTCTCACGGCTGAAGAAACGAATCCAGACCCAGACTCCCACGAAGCATTCCACCCAGGTAGAAACGAGGGAGAACGCCCAGCCCGCCCCCGACCGGTCAGCCTCGAGCCCAGCCCACTCAACCTAACCCAGAGTCCCCTGGGAAGCAGTCTGGCCTCTCTCCCGTCTTCACCGCTCCCTCCTGACCCTTCCCCCGCGTCTGAAGAATCAGCAACTCCTGGCTGACCCAGCCCATCGCACCCGAGGTGGGAGTGGGCTTCCAGATCGCCTCCATCTCGGCCCCGGCGCCCTCCCTGCGTCCCCTCGCAGCCCTCGCACCAGCTCCCACCTCGGGCGGGCGGTGCCGGCTCCCTCAGGCCGCAGCCGCTGGCCGCGTGTGCTCTGCCCTCGCCGCCGGGCGCCCCCAGCCCCGACCCTCCTCCTCCTCAGCTCCCAGCCCCGACCTTCCCCGCTCCTCCAGACCCCGCGGCGGCCCTGCCACTCCTCGCGCCGGACCCAGCTGGCCGCTCCTTCCCTCGGGAACTCTGTCTCGCCGGCCTGACTCCGCCCCTCGCGTCCCTTCCTCCGCGAGACCGAGTCCCCGGCCGCGGGGCGCCGGCTCCTCCCGCGGCCACCGAGATTGGAGGCCCCTCCCGGAAATGGCTCCGGGGGCGCCGGCCAGGCCAACTCCGGCGTGCGCGGCCCCGCTACCGCCGGCCGCGTGCACGCCCCGACCGGACCCCCACGGCGCGCGGGCGGCGCTTACTGGCCAGGCCCGGGATGGCACCCAGGTTCCACTGTAAATGTCTTGTTCCGACCTGTGCTGGACTGCGGTCTGCCTCAACGGCCACCTACTTGTCTTACAGCTTTCCTTTTACAAAACCAACTTTCTGGTCACATTTGGTCATTTGGCTCCCCGAGAGAGTCGGCCTGCAGATCATTGTACAAATTGATCCAAAACAACCACCGAGATGGGTCTCCAGGGTAGGAATGTGCCCCTTGGTTCTTTCCTGGGTCAGGCGGGACTTGAATTTTCCATCGAGATCCATGGTGCCCAAAGAAAAGCGATATGAAAACTCAATGCAAATACCATCCACAGCCTCTCCTCCACACCCCACCCCCAAAATGCAGAGCAGAAGCTACAGGTGTTGAGCAAAAATGCTACCACCGCTGCTTCATTTTCACAAACAATGCTGGGAATCCTCTACTATTTCAGTGAAAGGACCCACTGGGATCTCAACGGTTAAACTTCATTTCCAGATGAAAAAACCACATCTCAGATAGGTTTTCCATGGCTTACCTTGTTATCGCAACACTGATTTATTTGGTAGAAGAAAGCAGTGTGTTTACATGTAACGAATCAGTAACCTTCATACTGTATTTTTCAAATGACACCCACATGGAATCTTGAATTCTTTCAAAATTTCTAATTCAACGAAAGTGACACTAACCTGGGTACCCAATTCTATCCCTTGCAAAATGTTGTCCTGACACTAGAATCAGGGCATCATCACCATGGTGATCCTCATCTAGTGCTTTTAGAATGAGATTCCTCCTTATTTCGTTCATCCTGCTGGCCTCCTGTGCACGCTCTATCCGCACTTCCTAATTTCTCCACCAGAGTGGTTAAGAAGTCGAACAGCATATCTTTGGGCTTCTTCACCTCCCATCAGAATTCCCAGACATCTCTACCACCCCAGAACTCATAAATCAGGCTATCACACCCCTATCTCCTTGCCACCCTCACTGCTGTTCCCCAGAAAATATGCCTTCTCAGTGTTGAAGGGTTAGAAAATGTTCCAGAGCCTCCTACCAAACAAAGCCTACTTACCAAGAGTTACTTTAGGATTTGAGGCATGCCCTCCTCATTCTCTATTTCCTACCACTCTGCTTTAATTCATCAGATCCTAGGAACTGCACATACACACCCCTTCTTAGTTGCTACCCCCTCCCCCACCCTTAATCTAGAATCTGTGTGCCCAGGTGACTGGAGAGCAGGGTCACATCTGATTCCTCCCTGTGCTCTGACATACAAAGTACAGTCTGTTCATTCTTTCCAGATGCACAAACTAATTCAGCCATATCGACTGAGCCTTACTTTGCCTGTACCTTTACATACAGACCCTATTTATGTCCTGATTTGCCCAGGTCAGGTGACTCTCACCATCTCCCAACTTGTAAACAAGGGCACTAAGACCAGATAAGGTAATGATCCTCCCAAAGACACATACATGTGATGGGGTAGAGTTTGTGGGTGGGAAGTTGAGGCTTCCAACTTGGTAGGGAGGACCACAAATATGCGTGTTGGTTCATTAGAATCAAAGGGTAGAGCTAAAGGTGCCTTACAGCTGTTTCCCAGCTGGACCCCAGAGCATATACGTGAAGAGACTGAGGCCCAAAGGAAGATGTGACTCCTGCAGTTCCAAGCACAGCCCAGACTAAAATGTGGGTTTGGGCTTGCAGCAGAGTCCATGAGGCTGGGGGCGGGGTGGGGGGGGAATGTGTGTGTGTGAGAGAGAGAGAGAGACTTTAAGCTGCCCTGCTCCTGCACCCCACACTCCCTCTGCTGGCAGAACAATGTCAGGAAGTACTTGGCAGACTGGTGGAGGCCAAGGTGGAGTTATCCGCAGCATCCACACTCAAAGTACTGTTTCCTGAGAGCAGCACTGGCTTCACCTGGGAGCCTGTTAGAAACTTACCTTCTTGGAGCCCCAACTCCAGACCTCCTGAATCAGAATCTACATTTTAACAAGATCCTCAGTTAACATATAAGCACAGTAAAGGTTGAGGAGCACTTATCTAGACACCTGTTTATAGATAGGTTGTTTATTTTTAGAGATAGGGTCTCCTATATTGTCCTGACTAGAGCACAGTGGCTGTTCCCAGGCATGATCAGATGACAGCTCATTGCAGCTGTGAACTCCTGGGTTCAAGCGATTCTCCTGCCTCAGCTTCCTATGTAGCTGGTGTGAACTCCTCCCCCCACCCCCGCCAGCTAGAAAGCACAATGTTTTTATTAAGGTTGTATGTGTGTTTGAGGTGGCTTAAGTCAGCTGATGAAGAAAATGGATGTGGGGGAGGGAGGGAATGAACTAATGCTGCCCATCTTGTCCTGTGGTGCCATTATGGCACCTTCCATGATAACCAAAGATCAGGAGAGACTGGAAATGGCTGCAAGACACAGTGAGGAGGTAAAATTCCTGCTGATAACAGAGGCCTTGGAGATAGGAAGGAGTGTGGAGCAGGCGGTCTAGGATTACTTCCCTCTGTGTTTCTGTCATTTAGGCTGGGAGGGGCTCTTGGCAGCGCTTGCATCTACCGTTGTTAAAACAATTTTTGAAGCAAATCTGGTTCTGCTGGAAATGGCAGCTATCCATGGGCAAGTCAGTGCCCCTCTCCCTCCTGCATGAGCAGACGCTCCCCAGGCCTCCATGCCGCTTCCTGACGCTCCTTGCTCGGCTTCTTTGGAAGGTCACCTGACCTCAGGGTAGGGCTATAGGCAGATCTCAGGAGGTTTGTAGTCTCTGAGCCCCTCCTGGAAAGACATGGCCCATAAAAAAGCCCTCTGAAGGAAGGCAGCAAACAATTCGTGGAGCCCAGAATGCCCGAGGAGGGGCAGGAAAACAACAACAGCCCCAGCAGCATGCTGGGTTGGTCACAACAGAGCTGATGAGGCTAAGGGCCAGCCAGACATGGAAATACCCATACCGCAGGGAGCCAGCACTCAGAACTTGCCACACTAGACTGAGAAACAGAGTCACTGAGTTGTAATGGCTGGGCTGAGCACCTGCCCTTGCCCAGGTAGCATTTCAACCAAAGTCAGAGTGGCCAAGCCCTCAGAGGACCAAGGACTTCCCCAGGAAGCCTCCCACTGCTATTCAGACTGCACAATCACTCCCAGCAAAACATCAAAACCAGAGAGCAACTGTTTATCAAAAACAAAATAAGTACAAACTTCCTTTGGCAGAAGGAAACCAGCTGGGGGCTCTGATGACAGAACAGCTTAAAAGTCAGAAAAAAACAGGTCTCCACCCAGAAATCACTGTGTGGCCTCTGGTAAGTTTTTTAACTGTCTGAGCCTGGGCTCCCTTAGTTGTAAAACAAGGCTGAATAACATCTACCTGAGGACTGATGTGGCAATTGCAAGAGACAGATGTATGTACCCAACACAAATGGGGCCATCAGGAATTATTAGCCCTTCCACCCACATCCAGGGTGTGATCAAATAAAATTCCAATCTGAGCTCTCTGAATGGCTACACCCAGTCCAACTCTTTCGTTTTATGGTTCTAGGTCTGGCTTCAATCCCCATCAGGACTGGATCCTAACAAGTTGATTAGTTCCCCTTATCCTCTCTGGGACATACTAGTCCTCTTCAAGGCTTGTCTGAGAATGACAGAGCTACCGTTTCCCTGGAGATTTTGTTGCTAATGGATCAGTAAGTCACAAACCAACCAGTGCCACCAGCCCTGTTTATAACAAATCTTTTTTAACTCTCTTTTATTATCCTGAAATCAAATTCTGATGCACCTACCTATACGTGTAATTCTTTTTACCTAGCAATATAGGGCCATAACTTGATAAGTGAAAGTCAAAATAGTAAAACTGTGTAAGAAGTTGGCAGATGAATGAACTTACAACAGGCAAGTTTACATGGAAAAGAAGGCAGCACTAATTTAATAATGTTGTCACTTTTTTTCTTATTTGAAATAAGGGCTAAATTGGGATATTTAGAAGACCACACACAATCATCATGAATGCAAAAGGTACAAATACAGACCAGTACAGAGGGGTGTCTTGGTGACTCAATTACCCAGCATTGCTATGGGTGATGTGATTTTACACAACTACGGATTAAGAGTTGACAAAGTGTTTGAGACCAACCAGAGCAATGGTGAGACTCCCGTCTCTACTAAAAATAGAAAAATTAGCCAAGCATTAATGGCAGGTGCCTATAGGCCCAGCTACGCAGGAGGCCAGAGCAAGAGGATCACGTAAGCCCAGCAGTTTCATGTTGCTGTGAGCTATAATGCCACAAACACTTTACCCAGGGCAACAGAGTAAGACTCTGTCAGAAAGAAAGAAAGAGGTGATAAAGTTCCAAATGAAACAAAGGACAATTTACATGCGACTTTCACCATGGTAGTCATCCTCTAGGTAGGGTGTATAATAAAAGCATATTTTTTAAAAAAATAAAAACTCACTTGTATATAAAGTGAAGTGGAGGTTGTGGTTCATGGGACAATGAACTGGTTTTTCACCTACATGATTATTTTGGCAGGGTGTTCAAAACATGTGCATGGCTTGGGATAATTCTTCATTGTGAGGGCTGCATCCCATCGCTGAATGCCAGAGGAACCACCCCCATCCCCCATGTCATCATTGTGACAGCCAAAAGTTTTTTAATTTCTGGGGTGCTCCCTAGGGAGCCGACCTGCCCCACTGAGAACTGCTCAGTGGAATACACACCAGCACAAGCCTCATCTAAGTATCTACACCTGAGATTTGTGGCTGTAGAGGGGATTTAAGCATCATGCAGGCTGTGCTGCCCATCTAGCATTAAATAACAGCATCTGCACGGAGCTTTTCAA